TCTTCATGCACTTTCATACGAAATGAAGGTCCCTCTAACATTGTTTTACTTAGATTTTTATTTGTACATTCTACTCTTTTGTAATGATACTCTAACAGTCTCACTATATAAACATTATTATGGTTTCTTTCATAATCTAAGGCTTGTCTTATATTTTGAACCAGCTTTCATTACAGTTTTCTCATTCCTATAATCCTTAAAGAAGTGTTTAATTCTTTTTTGTTTAGGATTGCTGATGAAATCGCTCTGGAACAACCTATCATTTTTGGAAAAAAAAGATTGATGGCTCAACGGAATTGCGTCATCCAATGAAGCCAAAAGCATAAAGCTGATCTTAGTCTGTAAAATATACTAAGCCTTTTATTCGACTTTTAATTTTAAAACTATAGCCTATTTTCATTTAAGAGATCTGTCTTTCGGTTTTCCACAACTTTATTTAATCCTTTGAAGCAGACAACCCGGATACTCAACATGACTCCATCTGATAGCTAATATCTCCTTTCTACAACATTTATCTGGTCTCCCGATTTTTTTTCTTTATTTTAGGTAGTCTCTACTCTCTCTTAGCTTTCCTTTTCACGCTAAGGGAACTGGCAGACTTGCCTTATTCTTACAACCTTTACTTCACTATACCAATACTAATTTGGCCTTTTTGGGGCCTATTTCTTTTGCTGTGATGATAGAGAGTAGTGCACGACTATACTTACCTTTTCTCTACATCCTTAATATTGTTTTCCTGTTCTACTTGATATCTTGGTTTCCCGTTCAATAATATACTCCCTTATTTACGATATTCGTGTATTCACTTCGACTTTTTCTTTCATTTTGCCCATTATGGATTTTCGAACAACTCGTCTTTCCTCTTATTTGATATTCTTATTTTATTAGCTTAAGAAAGAACAAGAACTATTTTAGCTGAATGAAATGGAAATCTACTTCAATTCATTGCTTCTGCAAGAAGTCTAATATCTTGATGCACGCGCTTCAAATTTAAGATCAACTTTCATTTAAATCACATCATTTAATAGTCCTTTGTCATTCACTTTGCTTCCTTTGGAAAGGCTGTCTTATTAAGTTCTTTTACATAATTGATTCATTTGGGATATCCTATTCAACTCATTAATACTATTATTCTTCATGCAAATCCACCTTTTAATGAGTAAAGCCTAATTGCTCTGTAAATCAAATGATTATAATTATCTACCTCAAACTTTTTGAAGTAGGCTATTGAGTTACAGCTCAGAAATCATTGCTTCCTATGTTTAACACGAAAATGAAAGAAATCTGTTTCTTAAAACCATATTTTGGTGCTCGCTATGATGACCCTAAACTCTTTAATAGCTGATGAATCAACGAAAAACTTGGCTCCATTGATTGTGCTTGAAGTGCTCTTTTTTTCTCAGCTTATAAACTGGCTAGTTTAATAAATGAATTACGTTGTGAATCGGAATCCCGTCTAGGAGTTGTGGAGTTGTTTTAATTAAATTTTAGCTGACTTACAGTGAAGTTAGAGTCTATTTGCAATTCCTTTTATCTAAAATTAAAAGCTAAAAAAACGCAAGCGAAAAATCTCTGGTCACAAATAATCTAAAATCCGGCTATGATAATAGCTATTATTTATCAGTAGTGCTAAAGTATTTGTCTCGATAATTCAACTATTGAGGCCAAAATATCTGTCTACCCAGGCGTCGTGATAGAAACTGAAGTATGTTCATATGACCAAGTTCGTTTCATATTATTGCATAGTCTGATTCAAGTGGGTCCGTTAGTTCTTTTGGTGGATCAGGACGTCGTAGAGTGTATAGGAACTCATATAAGATACATTTCCCCCCAATAGTTTTTCTTAAAATGAGCTTATCTTCTAAACACCTAGAAACTATACTGTTGTTTTATGGTCTACCAAGAGATTCAGTATCCATCAAAATATTCTATATCCATATAAGCAGCGATAGTGGGAAGGTATCCTACCTAATAGCCTTGAGTTTTCCTGTTATTACTTTGATCGAAACGTCACGGCACATTCCGCGTGTTTCGTTGCTCATATAACTTAATGGAGTCAAACAGTCTACCTTGCCCAATCTAGCGAATACTATCACGTACTCAGGCTCCATCTCTTGAGCCAAACATCCAAGCCAACTATTAGTTCATTGGGTTTACTGACAAGCGAGTCAAACTCGTAATTTATCCTACTAACACTTGACCAATATTGCTGCACTAAGGGTAGCTTTCAGCTAACCTGCCTACTTAATCTTACTTGTTATTGATATCTGTATAATCCATGCTATCTTGTATAAAGTATAGTAAGCCTCTGCTTCCACATCTAGGTATTTATGACTGTATAAGATAGGCTCCCCAGCTTAATAAGTAAATACATTTGGCCTAGAATACATCAAAAAACGGACTACCTGAATCCATAATGTACAAATATAAATTGGGGGGCGGCTTGTAGTTCGCACAACTGATCATTTGATTAATTTAATATCAGTCCAGCAGACTGATAAATATTTGCAATAGATGCCAGGTCTAACCTAGCAGAGGCACCTTACTTTTATTCTGAAAAAATTAGAAAAAAACAATAATATCAGGATGGACTTAAACAGGGTAGAATTTCATAGAAACCGGCGGGAAAAACTTTTAGTGGGACCCAGATTAAGAATAACATAAGTTGTGCTCATAAATTAAACAGCTTTATTGGCGCAGATGCTGATATTATATATTTATTAAATAGCGTATATTAAATATTATAGTTGTATCAAACAGTAGGAATAAAAATTAGGTCTTCTTAGCCTCATTCGGCTTGGCTCTGAGTTTATCAGGGTACTGCTCCAGAGTGAGTCCTCTTACGGCAAACAGCCGCTGGGCACGCTCCAAGGCGGTTCCACCACACTTAAGCTGGCGTGACTGCAGAGATAGCTTCAGTACGTTTAGAGATACAGTGGAAGCTAATACATCGGAAGTTGGAAAAAGCGTAGAATCTAGCAGCTGCTCATCAGTTAATGGGACTTCTAAAGTCTGGTTATCATGGTCACCTTTGAAAACAAAATATTAGAGACACAGGTAGTAGTCAGCAACAGCTCGATGCTAGCAACAACTGTAAGTCTCAGGAAATAATAAATGATTACCAAACCTGGCCATAAAAATAAAGAAACTAGTTTATCCATACCCTCTATGTTTATTTTGGAAGGCCTCACATCGATCTTCACGAATTCTGACTCGACTTTATCTGAAGTAGCCTCTGAATGCAAAGCTATCACGTGCGCATCTTGAGCCTGACTCCCTAGCTCCAAAGCATCTGGGCCGGAGATGACGTCAATTGTGGAGACAGCGATGTCAGTGCCTGATTTATCTTCGGTTCCTGAAAATATATCCGAACTACTGCTACCAGAGCTGCTACCGTCGTCGAGGCTTTCAAGCCAAAGACGTTGGCGTTTGTATGATGGCGCACAAGAAGTACTTGAACAGCCTGGAGTAAGAGGTGCTTGGTCGGACTTGCTTTCATTCACTATCTTAGACAGGGCTGAAAGAAGGAAAGCAGTTATATGACAGACTAAATAATACATTTAGCCAATAGATATATCACTAGCTAATAGCTAAACCAAGGGGCGGAAAATTCAGGTGCATTAATTAAATTAAAGTGAGAGAATAAGTAACATTTTTTATGCCAGAAAAGAAGGTAAAGGTCATGGAGAAATTGGCTAAGTTGGCATTGTTGAGGGATTTTCATTTAGCATAAAAGTGCATAGAGAAGAGATTCATAGGTCGATCTCACTAGAAGAGGATGGATGAATCCCGTCGTACTGCAGCCGCTTGACTTTTATACGACGTTCAGGTTGAACAGTCCACGAGACCTCGTTTCGGGTGAAAACAGGCTGAGCTTTCGTCCAGCATATGATGGACATCATCAGATCTCGGTCTCATTCCTGTAAAAGTCTCAAGTTAACAACATGACAAGAAGACTATCCGGTCAGGGCTTTTTCTTGGACCATTAGACCTTGATGTCCAGAGCATGACACTAGCCTTTTTTGATCAATCTGATATGACCGGCATTGCGTACTGAAGTCAAGACACACAAACACTGAAACTCGAACAAAAGTATCAGGACCAATATGAGAGATAATTAACCAAACCATTATATACCTATCTAGGCTTTTTTTAGCTTTCTTTTGCCTAATTTGGTCTATATAAGAAGTAAGATTGAGCCGGATAGTGTTCTTACCCTAGTGTTAACATGATGCTTTTACAGGAATGAGACCAAGCTCTGATAATGTCCATCAAATAATAGACGAAAGCACAACCCGTTTTCACCAGAAAAGAGGAAGGTCTCGTGGACTGGGTAAACCTGAACGTCGTGTAAAAGCCAAACGACTGCAGTACAACTGGATTTAGCCGACCTCTTCTGGTGAGATCGACCTATTAATTTCTTCTTCATGCACTTCCATATAAAATGAAAGTACCCCAACAATCTTATCTCAGGAGATTCATCGATGTCCAGTTACTCTTAGTATCTATAAATGTGGCATATAGAAGCACAAGCATACATATGTACACACACGTACGCCCATAAAAGAAGTTAAAATGACAAGATTAGCTTTGGTGACTAATGCTAAATAAGCGAAGCAGTAATTGGGATATGACTTCCTTCCAATAAAAATAAAAAGTTGAAATAGTTAACAAAAGTACACGTGATGCAATTCGGGATAAAGTATTTGCTGCAAGCACGCCCTGTTCAACAGTCGTCCAGAAGGGTAAAAAAGCTTACAATACCAGATAATATAAGAAAAATACTTAAGAAACTCTTACCAAATTCCATGGACTTCTGAAGATCATCAGTTATTCGTTGCTTCTGGGCGTCATATTCCCTGTCTTCAAACTTATGTCCTGGAAGCGGACCCTCCTTGAGCATTTCCTGTCTCTTCCGCTTTCTTTCTAAATACCTCTCAAGCTTTGCTTTTTCTCGTTCACTTGCCTTGGCGTACCATTCGCGCAACTTTTTTTCCATATTTACATCCCGCATTCTTCTTCCAGTTAAATCTCTGCACATTTCGTGATTCGTTGTCTTTTCAATTTGGGAGCCAATGGCCCTAAGCATTGATCCAAAGCCTAAACTAAAAATCATTATTTTCCATACCGCCTTTGCCTCCACGAAGCCTGTAATGTTTTTCAATGTGTGCATCACTTGGCAAATTAGATTGGTCGAATTCAATTCTCCCGTTTATTAAATAAAAGAAATCGTTCATCTCCTGGGCAAACTAAAAGATAGAACATATTACAATCGTCATCAGCGCAGGAAAATGGATAATCCTTATGATTTATACTCGCAAAAAGTATTATTGTAATAGAATAAAGTATAAAAAAGCATGTAGACCAAAAATTAAAAAAAATATATGCTCAAGATAGGATATAATTCTGAGCCAAATAATCGCCGAATTATTAAAATAGTTTGCATATG